AGTCACCACATCAGGTGACTCTACTTGACTCCAAGTGACTTCACAAGACTGGGATCCCATCTAGTCTGCTATTTCTCTCGTGGGCTCCACCCTATCACCTGATTCCACCTCATCAATTAACTCCAGCGCATCAAGTGACTTCACTTGACTCCAAATGACTCCATGCGCCTGAAGTCCGCTGTTTCCCCCTTGCTTCAATCTCTACCTTATTGTGTCTCATTCGCTTCTAAAACTGGATGATTCTTCCGTTCTTCTATATGAAACGACATCATTGCAAAGCGTCCAAAATCATAAAATACGCCGCTGACAACAAGAAAGAATAAAAAACATTATTATTCATTGTTTCGTATTGATACAAGCAAATTTAAGCACAGAAGAAGAACAGTCCAGACAAAAAGCAAGTAACAAAAAGATTATGGGTTAGTTGACACAGCACAATTATTAAAGAACATATTGTCTAGCTGTCCACACAGATATTCTATGTGACACATGGGAGAAAACAGTTCAAACACAAAAAACACAACAAATGATGAATACTTATGTAAAAATATCTCTTCTACTTCTTCGACTACTAATTTTTTATTATTGGTTAAAAATAGATTAACGCATTTGTTGTTCTTCTTTCATTGCCTCGGTCATCTTGCGTATTGACACGATCATTACAAAATGAGATAGAACTGATACATAATCAAGTTGTTTACGTGATTCTGATAGAGTCAAGAGCATCGACTGCTTTCGAATTGATTGTTTGGTCTTATTGAACTATGTCTCATGTCGAAAGACTGAATAAGACATGATATTCTGTTGCTTTAACAAATTGAAATTTAGTCTCTGAAAAGTAGTTTAATACTTAATAATGATTGGGGGTATAATAGTGGCATTTTCTTGTCGCTTTTCAACAGAGAGACTTTTTACTCTGGTCATGCCAACAAATAACTTTTAAGGCATAGGAAAAATAGGGTTTGTTATCATTGTTATTGTGTTACCTGTTCGTTGTTGTTGATTTTGAAAATTATATCTTAAACGAGTATAGAGTAATGTTTTAACGGTTTTATTCGTAAAAAACATCACCATCGTCGCAATTGTAGTTGACAGTGGTATAAATATAACACCAATTGAATAAAATGGCCACCATACATTTCCATTTGTAAAATAATTTAATAAAATTAATATAATATAAGGAAATCCGCCTACTGATAACGTAAGAACAAGTATAATAATACGTTTAAATATTTTCATATTTCGCTTAAGTGTTCTCATTCTGAAATCATCGTGTTGAAGTTGCGATTTAGTTATATGTGCATAATATAAAACTAAAGTGTATAACAGTATAACAAAAGCATATGGTATTAAAAATATTGTTATGAATGCCATCGATGATATTAGAACATTTTTTGATGTTAATGTACATAGACGTGATTCATTTTCATACTGATAACCGTTGGCGAATATTGGCCAACACGATACAGCCATAGATATTACCCAGCTTATTGAAATTAGTAAATAATGAAGACGAAATGTTAACAAATACTTATGTTTGTATAATACAATGAAAAAATATCGTGATACTGCATGGATTAATGACGAAGAGACAGTTAGAGAACATCCCATTGTCAAAAAATATCCACGTATTGTACATAATGTCTCTTGTGTTTGTTGATTTAAAATATGTGGAAAAACATAGAATTCATTCCATAATACAATGATGCTATAAACAACCACTGTTAAACTAGCATTACAATCAAGTAGATTTAAGATTGTGTAATGGTGTTTACGGCTAATAACAATAATAATCAATGTGATACCAAAAAACAATATAGTTAAACAGAAAAAGGTAGAAATTGTGACTATACCATAATAGTACGTGTCTGGATATTGAGTTATATTCATCGTGTGGAGTGAAGACCTTTTATATTTTACTTTAACGGTATTATTCTGCAGATGTTTACCATGCGTTGATCTAATTTCTATTTTATTAAGAACAAAATTGTTTTATTTCATTCTTTTGTTAGAAGTTCCGTTTTCATATTAGCATCTTTACGTATTCTGATTTAATTCACTCTTCATACATCAAATAAGTATTTCCGACTTTAAAAAGTCTTGAAGGAAAAATTATATTTGACAAACGTTGATGAGATTGAAATTTCAAAGGATCACAGAGTTAATAGAAGAAGACTCTTCAATTAGTGCCAGGGAATATATATAAAATCTTGTTTTGAAGGTATAATGCAAGAGCAGCGTGCCACTCAGTCGGCTGGTGAGCAGACAACGTACTTCAAATATACAGAGTTCGAATCCCGGCAATGGCGGTCGCATGATAGCCTTGGACAAGCTATCTAATACTCATTGTCTCGGTACTTTTGGACACAGAAGCAATGAGGTAACCCGATTTCAGTGCCATTGGACTGAAGAGATGCGAGTTAAAGTTTAAAAAAAAACAAAAAAAACGCACCAATAATAAAGTAAAACGTTTGTCAGCATAGATCAAAAGGTAAAACCTCTGCCTAACGTGTTGTTTATTTTCATCAGCTTAAAATAAAGTTTGATGATTAGGTCTACAAAAATATTTCTATCGACACAACAAAATTCTATTGGAAAACCTGTAAATGAACAGCGAATACTCACTCAAGTAGATAGAGAGAGAGAAAATTTTCTAATTTAGTTCAAAGTCTAGGAGAACGAAAATTATTTTCTTGAATAACAAATTTTCCTAGGTATAGAGTTGATGAAATGAGTGCGCACTCATGATCATCCATTCTTGATCATCAACTTAAACTTTATATATGTTCTCCTATATGAACATATCTAGTTGCTTGACTTCGATATGATGTTTCCAGAAAAGTTTTGACTTTTCGCATAAATCCATATCTTTTCTCTACTGAAAAACCGTTTTTAACAGAAACAAATAAATTCGTAACAAGCGCTTTGAACTGCATGTGATCCAGAGGTGCATCCGGTACCGGTATGAATTATAAGTCCGACCGGTATACCGGCATTAGTACGAAGTATAATCAATCGGTCGACATTACTGGTATTTTGCGGTATGATACGATTTAGTGAAAAATATCGCGTAAATTCAGGTCATCTAAGATATATTTCTATAAACAAGGAAAAAGTGTTTGTATTCAGACAAAGCACGATCAAGACAAGCCCGTACCGACCGGTACGAAGTTTGTATATCGGTGACCGGTGCCTGTATCGCATTTTTGATACCGGTTACACTCCTGATGTGATCGTGTATAACACGATAATGGTCTGAACAAGACTGCTTAATGAATAGTTATGTAAAGATCTCCTCAGAGGACTTTACCGAAAAAGATTTTGCAAATAATTTTTCATGTTATCCGGTGAGAGAGTGCACATATATTAACTAAACTGTATACAGCGTTCTTGTAATGAGGAAAATTTGGAATATCAGTCCTCTGTATTCTTTTGATAGACGTCGCGTTATCAACGTCTTTTTCCAACCTAACTTGCTGATTCTTGTATCATGAGTTATACCGCAAAGATGGACTAGAAATGAGTGATTAAGCCGAGAATTTTGCATGTTTAAGGATGAACGCTACGGGCAATTAAAATTAATTCCAGGGAAAGTTTCTGATGAGATTATGGTATAGATGAGCTGTCTGGGTGAATTCAAAATCACCTCGAACTCTCTAGTTCACGTTCATTTCTTTACGGAATACTAATTCATGCTTTTACCTGAAGAATCTTCATAAGTTGACTTTCTATTTAAGTCCAAATGGGCTAAGAATTACAAAGCTAAATTCTCTTCCAGAATACTGAGAATAGTGCGAAATGATCTTTAATTCAGGAAATGAGAAGTCATACGATGAATATCAGAAGGACTGCTAATAGAAGGTTTCGAGATTTTTACATTTTCGCAATTAGTGTGACGGGTTACGTTGTATGGCGCAAAGATCTCGTTTAGCTCTAGAAGTTTACATTACCCATCCTGTAATGATTGAAAAAGTAATTATATTTTATTCAATCCACAGGATGGATGATTCGAGTTTGCAATAAATTTGAAGATGTTCTAAGCTCCTAAGTGTCTGACTTCAGACATATACATATGTATAGATTTCGAAATTTAGTTTAACTTATTTTCTTCAAAGATTATGCAGGTTTTCATAAAACCCCTAAAAATAGCCTAAAATAATAACGGATAGCAGTGAAATTTATATAATGTTTATTTCTCGGTTTAGGAAGTAGATTAAGATCCCATATTTTCAGCATAAGTGGTCGATGCCGAATACTATCGATAAACAAGAAAAAGTGCCGAAATAAGCTTCCACGTGTGCGGACATATGTGCACAAGATGTCGAAATTTTGCCGAGACAAACACTTTCGCATAAATTTTTTCATCCACACACTATGATATTACATTCAGTGTGACTTATATGTATTGCACAAGTATACCTTTAGTATAAATCATGAAATCTATCCGCACATTATCCTTGATAAGCTCAAAAGTAGTTAGCAAATGGAAAATGGCCTATAGATCGGTTTTTACGTCCGATGGTATTCCGAACGTGGGAGTTCTGGTGCTACTGCAGTCTATAGACCTAACATGATCGATGCCTGAAAACCGATTTTGGGAAGATTGACACACAGGCCCCGAAAAATCCATTTTTCGAAGTTGATTGAACATGAACTTGTTGTATGGCAAATGAAAGCGTATCGATAGCAAAATCGAGTTAGATGTACACCGCTACTGCACTGCACATGGGCAGGCACATGTAGTTAGTACAAGCTAGTCTTCGTACATTAGTTAAACCGACCCACTCTCTCTGGAAATTTTCACATATACGGGGTTTTCACATTCGTACATTTCAACAAACTATTGTAATCCATGGCCGATAATATGAGGGTTAATTGAATACTACTACCAAATACATGTGATACAAAAATGAGACTTAACTGTCATCGTACGCAAAGTAAATTGAATAAACTAAGTATGCCGTTTACTTTGGCCACTGGAATATATAAAAAGCGTCAGTCATAACATACGGTAATAAAAACAATCACTGATAACAGGAAAATATTACTTCTTTCTTTCATAGTAGAAACCAGCATTTGCAGTAAACTATTTATATATTTTGTGAGTGTAAACGGAGCCGCTAAAAATTGAGTGAAAAGCGGTATAGTAGCGATACCACCAAATGACAGAATTCCATCAGATAACAGTCGTGCAATAAACTAACTGTCCATAAGGAATGAGGACGAAAAAATACAATTTTGACTAATGGTAACAGAAACAGGACGGCGTTATCACTTGTTTATAGAAAGGAATCTTGAGGATGAAACACATACACATTAACCGAAAACAAAATTTAGCGTTTATCCACTCCAGTATAATATTTTTTTTGTTGATTATTTCGTTGCCCTAAATATTCATTGTCAGCTCAAAGCTACAGAAATAAAAAGAAATTAATTTAGGGCTTTTCTTGCAATTTCTATAACTTTGCAAAGAAAGGTCGTATAAAGCTGGGAGATGTCTCATTTCTATCAGAAATGGCCTCATTAAGAAAGGTTCAGGTTATATTTTAGAGTATCTGAAAAACTGTTTTTCTAGAAAATCAGGTCTCCGAAGGGCTAAGGGCAACCCCCATCATCATATTCATAATCAGCATGGTCGATAACCTGTAACTCACTAGATTCCGAGCAAAAAGCGTTTAATCACCTCGAAAGACTCCGTCGTCAGTGCTACAAGCCTCTTCTGACAGTAGAAATGAAAAAACAGTAAAAAACATAAAAAGCTAAGCCAGAAATGTAAAGAATACACAATGCAGGAGACAAATCTGATCCCTGAGGAGCGCCCCATTCCAGCAAAAAAGGAGCCAAACGTAAATTTCCAAAAGAAACACGGACTGATCTTTCGATCAGCCAACTGCGAACCCAGAGCCAAACAAAGGAGAACTGACTCGCGGTCTCGCCAGTTTAACGAGCAAAGCATCGTACTAAATCTTGTCATTGGTCATGAACAGAATAAGCCCCGGGCGACCGGACGAGAGAGAAACTCATATCTGCTCGAAAAGAGACAATACCCTATTATAAATGTTATCGATTTGATTTTTTTAATGGTTGTGTTTCTCGAGCGATAGACGAGAATACGCGTAATCATTATTCGGTACTACCGTAGTTGAATTATTGTTTTGTATCAAAACCCGCTTTCTATATAGAGAGTTTGGCTGTAATCACCTTTCAGCAGTTATTTGTAACTAAACGGATACATTCAAATTAATGTCTCCAAATTTATTAGAAACAAGTTGTTGCCGTCCAGAAGCGAGTAAATCAAAGATCAACCAACTACACTAGTAATATCAACAAACGTAATATGCATATGGCATGTAAAATGCACTAATCCGAACGAAATTCAAAACGAGAAGAGATCTCAGATATTGCGGAGTTCCCAACATCTAACACGTCTGATCTAATACTCTGTCAGAGAAAATAATTAAATCATTTGATGCTATTTTTATAATCTCTTATAATATTAAAAGTACAGTTACACTGTTATGAGTAACAATTCAGCTTTTAGTTTTCTTTGCAGTTGAATTATCATAATTTTAAGCACTTCCAAGACTTTTTATCGTTGATAAATCTTCAATTACAGCCAAACTCATAACGGGTTTGTGTTTGTGATCTTCGCTATAAACACCATGAAATCCACCGATAACATAGCATGTTTTCTTTTTCCCAGTACAATGATTTTCAACTTCAACTGGTACTTTTATATTATTCAGCTTAATAGCATCGAAGTCAATGTTTTTGGAATTAATATCAACACCATAAAATAGTTTTAATATCCATCCAGTAAGATACGTTGTTCTACCTGAACCTAGTCGACCATTGTTTAAATCCATTATATGGTCCCAAAAGATAGAATTCACTTGTCCCTGATATGTTTTGATAAATTCATCTAATATTGGCAATAAATTGTCCAAATATTGTTCATACTTATCACATTTTTTAGTATACATTTTTAACTGTTCCGTTTTATTTTTCAATAAATGCCAATCATCCAATGTACCTGTTGAATAAAGACAAAATAGCATGCATTTGAATAATCAGATCTGAAATCAAAAGCTGTCATCTCACTTACCTTCAAAATGAACAGCTCTTATCCCGCAACCAGGAATACATCGACCATAAGAAAAATAAGCTTGGAACGTATCCATTATACAGGCATAAGACAAAATTGATTCAATCTCCGTTGTTGTTGAAAAATTTGATGTTAATTGATCAATAATATCCTCATTTTTTACATTTTCTGATATTTTCTCTTTCATCATTTCAAAAAAGTCAGTCCAATCTTCTTCTCGTTTACCCATTGGCTCAGTAACTATTAACTTTTTCTTTCCTTGATGATCAACAAATAAACTACGCAATTGTTCGGCATTATCGTTGACATATTTTGAAAAATAAATTAATATCATTAACCATAAATCATCGGGAGATAGAATTACATCTTCATGATTATTATAAGCCCACATAAACGAATGGAGCACAGGATTCATAGAATAATCGGTAAAGTTAGAATTGGATATTTGATACTGTATTCGATATTGATTAGCTGACTCTTGTGAACCATAATCACGAATCTTATTTATCCAATAACTATCATCTATTGTGAATGGACGATTATCCAAACGTTTTTTGGCACCTTTTTGTTCTGGTTTGACATCGCTTATTTTCACTGTTTTATACATTATCCTTTTCTCAAAATAATTCACAACAAAAAAAGTAGCAAATAACTAAGTAAATAATATAAATTGCACGTTATTACGTAAAATTATTTATTGTTTTAATCTCGTTTTGACTAAAGCAAAAACAAGCTGAAGTTAACAATAAACATAATCATATATTTTTTTTTGTTATTCTGTTAGATGAAGAAAAAAGCCAAACATGGAATTGCACAACCATTTTAACCTTTTGAATACCGTTATTTTTCCTGTTTCGCGTCCAAAGGCACGCATATGTAAAAAAAACGATTAATTATCTCTCTTTGCGTTCTGTTGTTTTCGTGACATGTGTATTTAAGTATGAGTCATATCTTCTTGCTGTCGATATATACACGGTCACTGATATGATTCTCGCTAATAATCGCTTCTTTGAATAACAAAAGTGAACGTGAATAATCGAGTGATTATCAAAAAGATGTCAAAAGATTTTCATGAAAATAGTTTGGAATATGATCTAATCGATAATAAAGAAAATGAATCGATAGAAAAAGACGACAATGACGATGATATTGAGATGCAAATATTACCTAATTCAGACGAAGATACTTTGGTAGAATAGATAGACAGGTGAAATAAAATGCTAGTTACTTGGCTGATTCGACTTGTTCATAACTGACACAGACATGCCGAATATTGCAAACCAGACAGTGCACTATAGCCTATTGAATCCTTCATAACAGGCTAGTTTTCTTTTTCCTCTTTCCTTGCAAATCAAATAATATAATAATAACAATAATTGAAATTTCAATTATTGATGAATGTTTCTTTCAATAGATGAACTCCGATCAGCCTTGTAAACATAATCTTATGTTTCCTCATAATAATCTTTTCTAATAATTTCTACTAATTAAATAGAAATGACACATCAGATGAAGATGATGAGGAAGAAGATGATGATGAAAGACCGAAAGCATTGCTACCTGTTACTGTTAGTCCAGCAGCACGTTTTAGTGTTTCTGGAAATCTAAAGCCAGCAGAGCTTTTCGAAAAGACACTACGAGACACCTTGTTTGATCAAATAACAGAATTTACGAATAATCGCGCTCAAATTTATATATCTAAAGCCAAATCAGATAGAACTATAATCTGGAAACCAGTAAGAGTTTTCTGCCTAATGAGATCTCTTTTTACTGATTTCTTTATTTGCTTTTTGTAATTCTTCTCTGTAGGTGACTACACAAGAAATAAAGAAATTTTCCGCTATAATATATCACATGGGTAGTAATCGTAAGCGTACACTTCAAGGTTACTGGACAACTGATCCATACCAAATAACCCTCATATTTCATTCGTTTAAATTTTTATCGCGTAACTGCTTTCTAAGTATTTTAAGTTTTAAACGTTTTACTACTGACCTGAAATGTAATTTTACGCGATCGTTTAGATTTTTACGCTTTGCTGACTATGAAAACTGGGATGAAAACGATCGATTGAAAAAAATTCGTCCTTTCCTAAGCACTGTAAGAGGATTATATCAGGCAGTTTACGTTCCATCTCAGCATATCACTACGGATGAAACTCTCTTGTTGTACAAAGGACGTTTAGTAAGTTTCATTTTCTACTTTGAATTGTGCCATCGATTCTAGTTCTTCAAACAGTTTAATCCCAGAAAATGCGCGCGTTTTGGTATCAAACTCATGGTCCTCTGTGATGGTTCGAATCGGTATCTATATAATTTTGAAGTCTACATCGATCAAGGTACTTTCATAAGAATCTGTTTTTCAAATCAACTAACCACGTGCGTTGTCTTTAGGAACCGATGAATGAGCTAACAATTCTCAAGAACCGAATGCGCTCTCAGTATCAGAACAGATTGGAGTCCATCTAGCTAGGAATCTGCTAGATAAAAATTATTATTTATACACTGATAACTGGTTCGTCAGTCTTCGTCTTACCAGATTTTTGTTGCATCGGAAAACATTCCTATTCGGTAGGGAACTATAAAAAAAATCATTGTGAAAAAAAAGTGGGTTTCTATTGATTGTGAACTGTTTTGTCATGTAATGTCATCATCTATATCCAAACCAGCAAACCGTATAGAAAAAGCAAGAAAGAAAGAGACTAGGAAAATGCACAAAGGCAGACAGACAAGTTTCACTGAAAGAAAAAAAAATAGGAACATAAACAATTGTATATAACCAATGAACAGATTTGAGAAAGATTTTGACTTGACAAGTTTTGAAAACTAGCCTGTTATAAATGTTTGACATCTTTCTGCGCTTGAATCTTAGATTTTTTCCATTGGGCGGTATTCAAAGAAAAGTCTGGAAACCGACAAGTATCCTTGATTACAATAAACATGCTGGAGTTGTAGCACTTCATCATTCTACAGCTGATCCTAAGACTTACAGATGGTTCATGAAGTTAGGAATACGTTTATTAAAACGTTTACTCTACAACTCGTTTCTCCTCTATCGAGTTCATCATCCAAAAACTCGCTACTCGGAATTTATTTAAGCGAGTTATACATTCTGTCATGAGTATATCGCCAATTTTATATTTTTTTCCTACAGTTATGTCATACAATAGAGAATACAGATGAAGGAAGACAAAGAACAGTATTTGAACACTGCGACCCCTATCATCTCGCACTTCTTCGTCACTCGCAAAAATCCAAAAACTAATAACAAGTCTACTGTATCTTCAACAAGAACGTTATATAGGTACGCAACGCGCTAGCGATAGTCCATTTGAGCTGAAATACGACCGTTTTTTAGGTCGAACTAGAGTTGAATAAGTAAAATAAAAAATATTTCAGAATCAGGACAGTGGAACGTGTTTTATACCCACAATACTCAGCGAACACCACTCCAACAATGACTATCCTAGTGAAACTAGTTCTTTGAAAAAGAGCGAAAAAAGGAGACCGTTTGCTGTACAAGCCGAAATATGGACTGCCAAAGTAGCATGCCAATATAGCCAGCTTCGAAAAAGCTGAGATCCACGTATCAATTCAATCGCGAAATTTTAAAAGCGTGTTCAGCCAATTGTCACAGATTCGGAATCTCCATAGTCGATTACCTTGTACGTAACAAGTGTTGAATCAGGGTATTCCAGAAAAAATTTGCTCCATTGTTTTGCAAAAGAATCTTTTACGAAGTTCCTGGAGAGGACCAAGGGCAGAATGAGACTAAGAAATTTTTCTAGAGTACCTCGATTCTATACTTGTTGCGTAGAAGGTAACCGGCTATGGAGAGTCCAAATCGGCAATCAGTTTTGGCCGAACACGCTTTTAAAATTTCATGACTGAATTGATATGAATAGACTAACTTTTTTAATGAATGAAAGCGTAGTGTCCTTTATACAATCAGCTGATCGATAAACTACAGTTACAGCTACGGCTATAAATGACTGGTTACCTGAAATGTAGCTACGAATGCAGTTTATGCTGAGACAACCTTCAGGTTCAATAAAGCAATAGGGTAAGAATGATCAGGAATAACTATTAGCACATGCACAAGCGTACCTCGAATGTTAACAATAACAAAATTATAGCCGTCACTCACAAATACAACTAGCTCGCCTCATGGAGTTTTTCCGTTGCGTTAAAGTCCGTTCTTTTAGTGGACGATAAAGTGTGTTGGTAGCATAAGTTTCTTGTTACAAAAATGTAAGGCGCTATAACGAATCAAATAATGTATCGCGTTGTCATGGCCTTGAAAAAACTTGTGCTATGGCGAGATAAGGATCATATGTTGGAAGGATCAGTAAACTGTGGAATATCGATCAGGTACCATAGGCGTAACTACGGCGGATGCCAGTGGGCCATGGCCCAACACGATCTAAGCATTGGTTCAATACCAAATTGTTTTTGAGTGTTTTGCTCAAAGCTTTTCCTTCACCTACCAATCCTGAATAAAGTTTGTGACATGAAAGCGAAATAATGTGCTGCCAGTCCAAAGATATAGCATGATTTTTGTTTCACTTCTTTTTGGCATCGTTGGATAGAGCTCACCGACTTAGATAGGAAAAAGTCAATTTTTCCTTTTTTTAAGATTTTTGCAAGAAAAAATTGAAAAATATTGACTTTTCGAACTGCAGGAAAAAACAGTGAAATTTTCATGTTTGATAGCGTTTCGAAATTTCAATACCATTTTTTTCTTATTTTCCACCAAAAACTGAGTCGGGAAAGCTAATTCAGGTAACTTTAGAAGCTAAAATAGACTCAGAATCTGCGGAGTAC